AGCGTTCACTCCGTTCTTGCTCATGGGCGGGGGCAATTCGAAAGCCGTCTTCACTCTCACCCTCTTCATGATTTTGATAGTCATTTGCTCTTCCAATGTCTTCTTTTTTAAGATATTGCTTTTGGTTTTGGTTTATTATGTGCATCAACATTTCTCCGGCCTTCATATTGAAATCACAAGGATCTGAAGTTGTCGAACTAGGCTCAACAACACCCTTCTTGGACTTGCTGCTCTGATAGAGAGAATCGAGGATGTGAAAATACGGGCAAGTTTTAGAGTCTCCAGGCCTCCTCTTGTGGCCTTCTTTCACCCTTCGATAATACTTGTTAATGTTCTCCCATTTCTCTTTACATTTCTTCGCATTCCTGTCATATCCAAGCTTCTTCATATCAGCAGCGATTTCTTCCCACAAGGGACCCTTTGATCCATTCCCAAGGTACTGCAAGTCGAGATTCGTCCGAAGTTTAATCAAAGCTTCGATTTCCGCTTTAGGCCATCGAGAAGACCTCTCGCCAGAACAGTTGTCCTTCCTCTCGTTATTATTATCATTTAAGTTTAGTTCAGGGTGTTTCTCAACACTGGGAGAGGTTGAGTTCATGTGAAACTGCACTGGGGGCAAGGGGTGCCCTGCAATCTTCTGCAGGAAAGCTATCAACGCAGCATCCTTTGCCTCTGCAATGGCCCTCTCCTGGGCTAGGCACTCCTGTTCTCTCCTCATCCGTTCCATTTCTTCTCTTTTCCATGATTCTTCTCTCACCATCCGATCCCTCTCGCATCTTTCCAACACTTCCAGAAACTTCTTCTGCAAATCCTCTTGCTTCTCCAACACTTCCTTCATCAGCTTCTCAAAGAACCCGGCCATTTTCATCTTCCTCGACACAGAACCTCCAGACTCTTTCCCCGACGAATAGGTCGCGGATGTGGAAGCTGATATGACATCAGCACTGCCAAGGTTGTGGGCCGTTTGGCTGATGCATGGCATCCTGAAATCTTGGACGATGCTGGTGTTTGGTCTGACCATTGCCACGGGAGTGGGAGACCCCAATTCGGTTGATTCCTTTGAGTCTGTGTTGTTGATTTTGCCCAACTGCAGGTTGCCAAGAATCTCTAATTGGTCAAAGAATCTATAGTTTTTCCCTTTCTGACCACCAGATCGGCACTCCTTTGTTCTCTTGTGATACTTGTAAATGTTTTCAAATTTCTCTTTGCACTTCTTGGCACTTCTCTGGTACCCCAACTCCTCCAATTTTCTGATCATTGAATAATAAAAATTTAAACTCCATTTATTTACTAAGGTTTGGAATATAAGAAAATGCTTTGGGGTGTGATGGAATAAATCAAAATGGATCTCTAAACTATCTGCGCTTCTTTAATTAATGAAGTAGCAGTTAGTCAAGCAATGCAACTTTCGATGTTGAGCCGGGGGTCTCTTTGGAAACAGCCTCTCTACTTTCAAGTAGGGGCAAGGTCTGCGTACACACACCCTCCCCAGACCCTACTCTTGTGGGATTTAACTGGGTTGTTGTTGTTGTTGTTGTAAACTCCATTTATTTACTAAGNGGTTTGGAATATAAGAAAATGCTTTGGGGTGTGATGGAATAAATCAAAATGGATCTCTAAACTATCTGCGCTTCTTTAATTAATGAAGTAGCAGTTAGTCAAGCAATGCAACTTTCGATGTTGAGCCGGGGGTCTCTTTGGAAACAGCCTCTCTACTTTCAAGTAGGGGCAAGGTCTGCGTACACACACCCTCCCCAGACCCTACTCTTGTGGGATTTAACTGGGTTGTTGTTGTTGTTGTTGTAAACTCCATTTATTTACTAAGGTTTGGAATATAAGAAAATGCCATGACTCTCAATCATAAAACAACCACAACAACCCAATTGGATCCCACAAGAGTAGGGTCCAGAGAGGGTGTGCGTACACAGACGTTACCCTTATTCGAAATAGAGTAACTCCGAATCATACATTGCGCTCAATTATTATAAACATATACTATGCATACTACCCAACAAGGGGTACACTATCATGTATCACTTAAACCAAGTTGCATAGACAAGAGTGTGTGTTTGGGTGAATTCAAAGTGGTGTTGCTCCACGGGTTGGTGGTACTAGACGGATTTCTCAACCAAACACAATGCAAGTTAATCATATGCAAGAATAGTACGGAGTACATAACTGAGTTCGGTTTTAGTCCAAGTAGCGATGGCCGTCGTATTCCACCAACAACAAGAGTCTATCAAGTTACACACATTTGGTTCCCCACCCAGTTATCGCAAATTGAACAAATGGTTCTTTCCAAGGGTTCCATCTATATTCACTTTTACAAAATGATTTACTTTTAATCTTACCTACTAATCTTACCTAGATGGCTAGATATTTAAAATACATTTGTTAGTGCAACTAAATAGTAAATAGCCTATCACCCCTAACTCTAGAAAAACAAAACCATTGAAACAAAAGATTCTTTGTACAGGCAGAGTAAATTGAAGATGAAATGGGTCAAGTGTGAGGTACTATGTTACTGAGGTTATGTTTGGTTGGATGAGACCTAAAAACCTGTCCCTATATATGACCCATTATATTTTGAGAGTTTTCAATATGATCATACTTGTTATATGATAAGTATATTGAGACCAGCCCAAATGTATAAGGCCCTAGTAACTGAGGTCCGGACCACTAGCTTGAAGATCTAGCCCATGTGAAATTGGTTTAGTAACCTGACCCGAAAGTGAGGAGTGGGTCCTTACGAAGTGGCGGATGGGGAGTTATATATATATATATATATATATATATATATATATATATATATATAGTCCTTACTGCGAGAATAGACCTTAACATGAAAATGATGCATTTTTATGCCGTCACGATGCATTTTTACTTTGTGGTAGTGCATTTTCGGCAGTGGGAGTAAAATTCAATTTGTTTACCATAATGCCACCGCGCTTTTTTAGATTTTTTTGAATTTTTTGAGCCCTTAGATCTTACATCTAATGCACGAGATGCATTCTTAGTTCTTTCATTAAATTGCATTCTCACTTGATCAAAAACCTATGTATGTATGTATGTATGTGTGTGTGTTTGTGTGTGTGTGTATATATATACACACATATATATCCTTCATTATTGTTATGGTCAAATTTTATTTACCTTGTTGGCTTATTTTTGTTTCCGTTTCGATAAAATTATATTGTCATGTCACCTCTAGTTTTGTAAATTTTTTAATGTACTTTTTAATTATGTAATTTTTATTTTCAAATTTTACACCATTTTTCATATAAAATAGTATGAAAATGATTTCAGTAAAACATCGTAAACGGGAAGATAATTTTTGGACGAAAGGAGTATGTGTGTGTGTGTAGGGCAATTAATCTTACAACAAAAAAGTTAAAACAAATGTTTGTACACTCTGAGTACTTATGGTGCTCCATTTGTGAAATTGATTATTTTTATCCATTAACTCCTCCGGCAAACCCTCCAACCCGGCCCGTGCACCCTCGCAACCCAGAATTGTACCACTTTTTACTTTGGTCAAATATTTGACCACAAAGCAATAAAGTCAACAAAATTAAATATTTCACTCACCATATCAGTTTGGACGAATAATTTTAATTTAAAGGATGGGATACTCTTAGTGCGGTATTATCTAAGCGCTAAGGTATCGTCTACCACCCATTCAAAATAGAGCCTTATCCAAAGAGGTTTTCACGTGCCAATTTCATATACTCATCTACATACGATTGGGTGTATTATTCATTCATTTAAATGTTTGTATGCATCTCTTGGCGACATGCGTGCATAACAAAGTAAGTATTCACAAACAAAATAGTCACAAAATTCACAAATTAACTATTTTTGAATTTCAATAAAAAGATTAAATAGTCTAAAATAATTTCAAAATAAAAACTTAAACCATAAATAGTAAATTTACGAAGTTTGTGACCATTTTGTTTGTGAATGTAGGATTGCTCTCAATTTGTAAATTGTAATGCCTTAAACGAAATGATATTTTAATGGAAAACCCAAACGTTTAAAAAGGTAAATCAAATGAAAAAAATAAATTTAGAGACACCAAATGACATAATTGAATCCTAAAGAAAAAAAATCAGATCATGAATGAAGCACAGAAAAAAGTAGTCGTAATAATCTGATTATTACCTACATCAACTTGCAGATAGAAGATGGAGGAAATGAAATCCTACCTTGAAACTTGTTCCCATAGAGGGGCTTTGGGAGTAGAATCGCGAAACGCAAAATCCATTTCCGACCGAATCTGGAGCAAAGCTAGCGTCTGGTCATGCGGCCATCTGTTACCACCTGCGTTCCGGTCGCTCTCTCCTCCGTTCTGCAGCTCAGAAACCTCCCCAGCGGCGGCAGAACCGATTCCTCCGCCGCTAGGATTGTCTATGAACACTGGAGTGTCGAGCATATCTGTGGCCCGAGCTGTTGAAGTTTATTACTAATTAATAGTATTAACAAGTTTGGTGTGAATTATTGGGGTCAAAGCTATTGCACTTGCTAATTTTGAGGTTGGCTTGGAATGAATGGGTTTTGGATCTCTTTAACTTTATCCCTTTTTGGGTGGCGAGGTGAATTAGGGCTTTCTTAGAGGGGAGGGATGGAGATAAGAAACACAAGGTTAAAAACCAAATGGTGACCTGTCAAGGTTTGGTTGCTCGGAAATGTGAATCGTTGAATTCTGCCCTTTTGTGGACTTTTACCCTGTCAAGTTATCAACCCCATAATTAAGTTCCGACGGCAAGTCAAACTGCTAGGGTGGACTCTACGAAGAAACGGAAAATGCTACCCCAAAAGTGTACCCCAAACATCCATACTCCCTCCATCACTACAAAAAAAAGTAAAAAAATTCAAAAAAAAAAATAAAAAAAAAAATAAAATAAAATAAATGGTAGAAATGGGAGTGGTGTACATTTGGGGTACATATCCCATGAAGAAACACCTTTCCTCACTTCGTTTATTATTGCATTTTATCCTTTAAAAAATAATTTTCGGTCTATCAAACATCTTCTCAATATGTGTTGTGAAAACTTGATCAATTTTATTTATTAATTCAATTTATTTAATTGTGAAAATAAAATCTAGAAATAAAATGTATATAGTAAAGAAATACATAAAAACTTTTATAAAACTAGATGTGACAAGACTAAATTATTTTATTAAATTAGTAGTAAAAAAGGAAATAAAATGATTAAGTTTGACCCTGTAAATAGTGTCAGGGAAGATCTATGACGGGTAGAGAATTACTCCCTCCGTCCCAAATTATTTTTCACATTACGCTAAACGAAGTAATTTTTTGAATTTTTTCAATCCATTTTATTTAAAGAATAGTCTACAAATGAAAAATAAAACATACATATTTAAAAACTACTTCAAAAATTCTACAAAACAAGTGGTGACAAGAATATTTTGTTCTATCAAATAATCAATCACTACAAGAATTAGACAGAATTGCAACAGCAATTTCTGTTGCAATTTTTGTATTATTCCGTTGCTGATGATGATTGCAACAGATTTTCCGTTGCACATTTGCCGTTGCAAAAATCATTGTTGCAAATTCATTTCTGCAACAGATTTTCCGTTGCAGAGCATTGCATCAGAAATTTGCAACAGAAATTATCGTTGCACAATTTTGCTACAGAAGAATTGCAACGGAAATGTCGTTGCTAATGTTTGCAATGGAAATTTAGTTGCAACATAATGCAACGAAGTTTTGCAAGTCTTTTTTCCGTTGCAAAATATTGCATCGGAAAAATGCAACGGATTTTCCATTGCTAAGATTTGCAACCAAAAATAGTAACATCTCTAGTGCAACCAGTTCCATTGGAGAAGCTGAAAAGAACCACGGTGTAGTACGTGCATGCTCAATTTCATACCAACTTAACTATCAAATGTAGCAAGGATACTCAAACATACTCAAACACATGTATTCCGCAAAACAAGAGTTTCAATATTTTCTATAAAACAAAATAAAACTTCATGTACTTTTCACACATCTCAATAATAATGTCTATTATTGTACATTAAAAATTTAAACTATTAACTGACGGTGATGGAAGTGCACCGATATGTTAAGCTTAACGGAGTTAGTAGGACTTTCGAGAGAGTCTCTCAAGAGACTGGATTAGCCACAAGTTGTGGTGAACCATTATAAAATACGGTGTGCTCCTTCCTTACACTCTTTACTTTCCTTCAATGCGCTTTTAAATTCCTGTGATTTTTTTAAACGTTATTCACCCCCTCTAGCGTTGGGCTTTTATTCTAACAATTGGTATCAAAGTCATACTCTCTGAAAGACTTAACCGTTTGAGAGAAACGATCAATGGCTTATACTCAAAACTTATATGTAGGGATAGGTGAAGGGCAATCCACCACGAGGCCGCCGTTGTTTGACGGAACCAACTACACATATTGGAAAGAGCGAATGAGGATCTACATTCAATCCACCAACTTTCTCCTGTGGCGAATCATAAAAAAGGGCGAACAAGTGCCCACAAAGAAGGTTGGGTAAACCATCGTTCCCAAAACCGTAAATTAATATGATGTAGAGGACATCAAGAAGATAGAGAACACACCAAGGCTATCAACATTCTGTTGAATATATGTAAGCCCTAGAGGCCAACTTATGATTTGTATCTGGATTATTTCAAGAATAAAGGTTTTGAAGAATGTTTAAATAATCTCGTGTATTGTAAACATAGCTTCAGTCCATAGATTATTATGAGATACGGACGTCATAATATATTAAGACTAATACGTATGAGATGAGATACCTGCGTCTCATAGGCTATAGATAAGGTGTTATCAGAATCTATACGTAGGCAAACATATTAGATATACTGCTAGATTGACCCGGCATGAAAATACTATATGGGTAAAAAACATTATTTTAAATATTATGGGATGATAAAATATGATTTATAAGACTCTGGAAATTTAAAATAAATTTTCATAAGTTATACTCTAATTTTCTAGATTAAATTATCTAAGATTGTATACAAGTTTTTGAATAAAAGTTCTAATTAAATATAGTAAATTTTTAATTTTTTAAATTTCTGTTTCAGTAATTTTTGAATTACTAAAAAGAATTTTCTAAAATTACTTATTTACTTTTTCAGAATCTGGAAATTTATTATTCGGTTATAATATCATTATATTATCAAAAAATTGATTTTTGAATATTAATGATATAAGAAGATAATTTTGGAAATTATCTCTTAATTACCGAATGAATAATCGGAACTTATGAAATTAATATTTTATAAATTATGAAAATTTGATTTTTGGACTTATAAAATTTCAAGTTGGAATTTATTTATTAATTTTCAAAAGGTATAAGTATTTATTTTGAATTAAAATCCGAATATCGAAATATATACATATATTTACGATAATTGTATTTTAAAATTTATAAAAATTTAGAATTAAATATTCTGAGTATTCAGAAGTCTTAAAATAAATTTTATAAATTACTTGATAATTTTAGGCTTGTAGTTTATTTTTAATTAGAATAAACTAGGTCCAGGCGAGCGCGGCTTGCCCGGTGTATGGATATTATGCAAAGAAATCACCCTACGTAGCATTCTAAGTCACTCAATATTACGCATATAGCACTCCTTAATCCATTATACGAATTTAGCAATTTATAGTGTCAATATCTTCCAAGCATATCCTTTACCTTTTATTATATTCTACTAATTTTAATTACTTTTAATTATCTGATTAAACTTAGGTTATTCACGTAGCCACTCCTCCTTCTACGTGCAGCTCCTCCTCATTCGTGCGTCTCATACGTGCGAGAACATCATCCTACGCCATTTACCATAGCTTTGCGAGATCCTCCTCCTACGCAGTTTATCAATGTATAATGCCTAAACAAGTTCGTAGATATTAAATTAAGTTCCATATTTAACGCCCATGTTTGGCCAGTGTATTTTGGTGTAATAGATTATTCATGAAATCAGTCATACATTTTTGGGGAGTGTGGAATTCATACATGAAAACAGTCATACACATTATTGGCAGGGTAGAATTCATACATGAAAACAGTGTGGAATTCATACATAAAAAGAGCTATACATTTTTTGGGGAGTGTGGAATTCATACATGAAAACAGTCATACACTTTTTGACAGTGTAGAATTTATACATGAAAACACTGCCACATAAATCAATGGACATTACACTTCAAAATGAAGTTAAGGAACACAATAATACACTTACACACTACCGTAAGATATAACAACATATATATATTCTACACTGCCAAATTAAATACTCACATACTCCCTCCGTCCATAAATAAACTTCCTGTTCATTATTCACATGGTCAAACTTCATTCACTTTGTTGGCCTATTTTCGTCACCCATTTGAGAAAATAATATAGTCATGTCACCTCTAGTTTTGTAGATCTTTTGATATAGTTTTTTAATATGTAATTTTTATTTTTAAATTTTACACCATTTTTCATATAAAATGATTTGAAAATAACTTCAGTCAAACATCGTAACACGCAACGAGAAGTTTATTTGTGGATAGAGGGAATATAAAAAACCACACTGCCCACTACACAGTTACAAGTGAACAATCACACTTTAGGAAACCACAATCATGCCAGGTTTTATTATACTTGTTTGTATGGTTAAATGCATGTTCATATGTTGATCGCTAGAGTATGTGCGCGGCACATACAATAGGTGCCTTCCGACGCTTACTCACTCGTCGATATCAGTTTCGACCAGTCAACGGACACGCCAAAGCGGGACGCCTGATCTACATTGGTTGATATCTATAAATCAAAACAGATTGTATTTTTGGACGTGCTTTTTCGCCCAAACTGCTCCGAATTGAAAACAGATTGTATTTTTGGAATGAGACTACCAAAACTAGAATTTTGACATAATCAAAATATTTTTCTAAAAACTTTTATTTTTTTAGTGTCCGGGTTTGTCTTAGCCATAAATTAATTTAATAATATGAATGAGATAAAAATATATGAATTAAATCCAAATGATGAATATGGTGTTGTCAAGTGTCAAAGATTAAGATTTCTAATCTTATGAAATCACTTTTAAATTGAGTTTAATTTATGGGTCAAAGTTATAAATTTTAGTATTTAAAATCGTCATAGCTTGAAATCTATAAATCAAATTGGTTCATAAAATGTACTGTTGGATTCGTCTCTTTGAGACATATCCATAAAAATAAGTTTTTAACAAAAAGTTATTATTTTGAAAATCCATTTATTTTTGGTCAAAGATATAAATATTCCTTATTGACCAAAATGATATTCAAAACTACTTTTGTTTTATAATAAATTTTAGGCCACATTATGTGGCGTTACATTTCATCATTCCAAGAATTTTGATATTTCACACTTTAATATAATGTTTTTATATTAATTATGTAAGATTGTAATCATCAATTTTCTGTAGTAAGTTTATTGTTTACACAATTCCCCTTATAGCATTACAAGTATGGTACTTTATTTTTTTACGGTGAAGCATGGGTTGTAACGCCCCAAAACATACCTTAGAATTATTAATAGATAATTATTAAAATAAATCAAATTTGTTTTGATTAAAATAAATTGTTATGGGCTTTGGGCCGATAAAAATATGTTTTGATATCCCATATCATAATCAGGATAAATCTCATAGAGATAAATCCAATTTATTGACTATTTGTGTGGTCTTGATTGAGAACCTAAGTACAGACCCAAATCAAGAATAAATGAAGAAATTAATTATGATGTGAACATTAAAATGATTTATTGAAATAAATGATGAGAATAATTAATATGAATTAAATATGAGAACCTTTTTGAATAAAGGTCAACTGAATCAATTTTTACTCTATCAAAGTCAACCACCCAAAAATATGATGTCAGAAAAAGTATTACAAATAATTATGAAAAGTATATCGTTGAATAGAATTCGACTGTCTGATCGCAACGGTGCGAACGAATTTCAATTTGGAGAAAGTTGGATAAAAAAAAGTGTACCCCGACTGGAACCAAAATTGGTCCCAATCAGGGACACTGTGGAGACGGCGCCTCCCAGCGCACTAATTCATTTCCTACGTAGAGCTACAGCTACAGGACTTGTCTTCTTCTTCTTCATTTCCTATATACGGAGGAAAAAAACCAGCTTCCAAATCTGCACCATTCCTTATAAAATTAATCCCATTAGAATCCTAAGAGTGAGGAGAGCATTTTGCAATAGTTTGTTGCCGCCAAAGTCACCGGAGCAAGCCGTGGTGTTCGCCGGAAGTTTCATCGTCCAATCGCCGGAATCATCGTTAAGCTTCGAAGTAAGCCCGTAGATATATCTAGTGACTAGAATGTTCATATAGATCGATTTTACGTTCATAAACGTTCATTTGGTTGAGTTTTGTGTTTGACATGTTTGAAGAACTAAGAATCGTAAACCATGATTTTGATGTTAAAACTATGAATTAATGATGCCAAAATGATCTATGAACCTTGGAGAACACTTTTATATACTTTAATTGAAGTTTGGTGAGTAAAAGTGACATTTCCGCAAGTTGGCTCGAGGTAGAAGACG